TGGTACCATTGCTCCTGTCGTTTGCTTGCTTTTCTTAGACATATCCAAAACAATTTGGTAGACCATTAATTTGAAGCTGAGTGGTTGCATCCATAGTTGGCAGCGAAACGTTCGCAGCGCAGACTAAGGTCTGAGTGTTAATTGGAGCAGAACAAATAATTGCACCATGCACAAATTCTAGCAACAATTCATAACGAAATCTTACCATGACAGCAGACGCGGACGCTGGGAGATTGTAGATGTTGCAGCCAGAGGGTGCAGCGGTGGACACCTGGATTGGATCACATGTCTTCTTCAACCCCTCATCTCCTCCTAAACAACAACGTTAGACGGATGGGCGGGATGTGGTAGCAACGATTGGATCAAGTGGTCCTCCTCCTCTTTCTTCGTACCCCCATGTCGTTGGTGGTGCCGCACCTCCACCAGCTCCACATCGCCTGCCGCCGTTGTCGCCAGTAACCTACCACGCCCATCGTGTGGGGCGACCTGATCCATGAGACAACCACATACAAGAAGCCCACAGCTGATTAACACCCAATTCGTACATAGGAGAGAAACGGGGGCCCGTTGACGGTTCCTCGGCCCGATTAATATGAGGACGTCCAAGTCGATCACCGGAGCAGCAGCCCATAGACGTGGGCCAGTTATGACAGGGCTGGCGAGATAAAAAGGCTCATGCATTTCACTGTGGGATGTTGAGTGATCTGGTACGATAGTATGCAGAATTCAGCGGTTGATGAGATCAAAACGCTGTGGAGGGACGTAGCTCGCCCCGTTTTACTGTTTCTCAATATTAAAAAAATTATATACTACATATGATGCAGGCTAGAGTTACGACCAAACACACGCAAAAGATTGGGGAAATAGGATCCGCGACACGTCTCGACCAAAAGCTTCCTTCCTCCGCCTCCACGAGGCTGCTCCTCCACCTGTCCGTGCGCCCCCCCCTCCCCCTCCCAGTGAACTGCGCGGCGACCTCCCCTGCCCAGACCTGATCCCGCCGCCGCCCAGTCCGGCACGGTATCCAACGGCCGGCCTGTTCCTCCTCTGCCGCCGAGTTGAGCGCCGCGAGGGCTGATCTCGCGGATTTTCGCCTGTTCCCGAGAGGTGCGTGTTGCTGCTGGGGGTTCCGTGCAGTGCCTTTCTCCCCGCCTCGGGGTTGCTTTTTGTTTGGGTGAACTCGAGGTTGCTGTTCGGTTCTCCCCGGATGGGGTTTTCCGGGCCGGGTCATCTTGGCGGTCTTGGATCGGGGGATTGGTTGATCCCGTCAAGCATGGGTTCCCTACCGCAGAACTTGGTCCGGTTGTGCGTTCGTGCAAAGTCTTTTCTACTTTCTGGTATTGAAATGACATCTTCAATCCAGTCCAGTCCTCAGCGTAGACCTAACCCTCATCTATCATCAGCGTGCGCGTAGGGTCTGATTGGTCCATTTTTAGAGCTGAACTGATCTGGAAAGTCTCTCCAGCGAACTGATCTGTTCCGGGCTTAGGTTACTATAATTTCCAATTGATGTGTTGCCACTTTTTTATAATAAAATTATAATAATTTTGATATCTTTTCCGTATCGTTTTCTTCCTGTGTGTTAATGCTGAAGAATTCCATCTGACCACTCGCAGGACGATAAAGCATGCATATGACTTGTAGGAGGGGTTCTCACAAAATAATTCCTCAATATTTCCAATGTTCAAGATATTGGTAACCGGTACCATATCGGTTGGGTGCCGAGTAGTGATAAATAGGCGAATTTTCCTGTTAAACTTTAGAGCATCAGGGAGCCACAAGGGCCTCCCTGGTTCCATTGCAGAGCATGAAAGCAAAAGTTTTACAAACACAGTTCAGGAATCGAAAAAATGGAACAGCAAACAGGCTGGCTGCGCGCCGTGGCACCAAACTACCACGATGGAACTAAAATAACCCCTCTAAAGGCTAGTCTAGGGAGGTATCGAAACCATTATTACATGACAGGAAAGACTTCAGATGGCATTTTCCAGTTAATCGGTCGATAAATCAGTTAAACGGCCGATAAATCAACTAATTGGATATTCGGTGACCCACTGAGTAGCGATTAACTGACCGAGATGCCGATTAACTGGCCAATATTTGGAACAATGATATTTTAATGCTGTTATTCCTGTTCTGTGCACCATAACTTGATATCTACTCAGCTGCAATTTTATGTGATCCGCTTGCAGGCCAGTTGCGGATAACTCGATTAAGTGCTAGTGCTACCAGGAATCGTGTGGTGTGCTTTATCTGTCTAGCTTGCCAATCATCTGCATAAATTTCAAAGTGGGTTTTGCTTTCAGTCTGGAGGCTGAAAGATAGGTTAACACTCTGCCATCTGACCTTGTTCATGCGTGCATGGTTTGAATGCTAACCACAATTGAGTCCTGAAAACGCAGACGCGGTGCACATGCTTGCCGGCAGTATGAATAACGATAATGATAATGTTATTGACTTGATATCGGATAGTGGTGATGATTTTGATTCTGACTCTGACGATCCAACTTCTACAAATGTCACATCTGGCGAGAATGGCGGAGGTCAATCAGTCTGCTTTCAGGATGAAGATTTGTTGAGGAGCACTCCCTCTTCTTCCAGGTCTAATATAAATGATAATGGTCAGTACAGAACTCTGCCACCTTCCTTCGCAAATGGTATTGATATTGAGAAAGCCCGTTATACACTAGGTTCGGAGGACAGAACTTATCCACATTCAAATTCGGGGCCAAGACACGATTCTGGAAGGGCCTCTCTCTCGTCCAGTAGACTTGATATCACAGTGAGGGAGCGCAATGGTTTGGCAGTGGATGCAAATGGCAATAACAAGAGGATTCTTCCTTCATCTTTTTCCAGTGGAAGCACGTCAAAATCTACACATCCAAGTGTTGCAAGTGAGAGCCGTAAACTCCCATCACGTTTTACCAGTGGAAATTCACAAAGGTTGGATGATAATAGTATGGGAACAAATGATGGCAATTGCACTGGGCAGCCTTCATCTTCAAGGTTCTCAATCCGAAGCTACTCTGTGAGTAATGCCCAGAAGGATACCATGGAAAATGACGATGGTTTGTGTAGCTAGTCTCAAATTAGTCTAATTGAATCATACATTGGAAATGGTTGCAGGATTTCAATACAAGTACTAATGTTTTTCCCTCTTTAATATTGCCAGATGATGTCTATGTATATGATAGTCCTAGTTCACATAGGATGCTGCCTGCATCTTTTGGAGGCCATAACTCTGCCAGTAACAATGAACTTGCTAATGTTAATGACATGCAAGCTCGTCCAAACCTAGAAAATAGGTTTATGGATCCTGACGAGAGCGCGGTATATCAAGAGGCTCTTCAGGTATGCATCTTTGGTCCGTTGAGACATAAACAACATTCATGTTCATGCCCAGCTAATCATGTGACGTTTTGTCCAGAGGCAATTATCTATGATAGACTTATTCTTCTTTGATAAGTTCCGTGAATTGCATTGCTGACTTGGCTTGATGGATTAAAAGACAGCTGATAATCCCTATCAGAACTCAAAATCATACTCTGTAACGACATGCTGCTTTAACATGTGCCATTGTCTTTTAAAGTATCTTTCTGAAGAAAAATACAGGTTCTACCTATATGAATTTGCCGTGTTAATCATTTTACTGCATAAATACCAAACTTATGTGCTGCATATTTCTTATGGTAGTCTGTCTTCTAGGTATAGCCGGTCCCAAGCCCGGGTAAAGGAGGAGGGTTGTGATAGGCTTGGCGAGCCAACGTAAAAACTAGCCAGTCCCATAGGTATGAAACCCATTTGAGCGAGAGTAGTACTAGGATGGGTGACCTCCTGGGAAGTCCTCGTGAAAGGGTTTCATATCTAAGGGTTGTGATAGGCTTGGCGAGCCAACGTAAAAACTAGCCAGTCTTTTGGGTATGAAACCCATTTAGGCGAGAGTAGTACTAGGATGGGTGACCTCCTGGGAAGTCCTCGTGAAAGGGTTTCATATCTAGCCTACCCCAACTTGTTTGGGATAAAAGGCTTAGTAAGTAAGTAAGTCAGAATAATAAATACATTACCATTGCATTTGCAGAGCTTCAAATCTTTTTTAAAATAATTTTGTTGCATTATAAATGCAAGTGCTAGTTTTGACTTATCAATGAGAATATACATCTGCATGTTCTTGTTTACCAGCCCATGGAAATAGTATGTTTTAGCAATCCAGGTTATTTATTTGGCTATTACTCTTACATTTGATTCTATGCTTTGAGTAACTTGCTTTTATTATTCTGTTATGCAGAACATTAGTCTGGATAAAAGGGAAGATGATCTCGATGAGGGTGTCTTATCAGTATCTCTGCTTAAGCACCAGGTACACTATTCTTTATATGAGTGCGGATTTTTTACTTCTGGAGTGCCGTGAGGTCACACTGTGAGATTCACATATTTATGTCTCCACGCTGATGCACTGTACTCTCCATGATGACCCAGTCCAATTGAAAATGAACTAATGATAAGTGGTAGTCGAATTTAGGATGCATTATCCCTGTTATAGGGCATGTCGTCAGCACTGTACTATTGACTAGTAAGGTGTGAAATGAAGAAGATGAAATAGCAATTCCGCAAGCATGAATTATGCCAGATTTAGGGGTAGTATAACCTAAAAAAAGCACAAATACAGGAACATGGACATGATGATATGCATACAGTGACACGAGATACAACATTTTCCAAAAACAGCCGTACGGGGATACGGCGAGTATATATAAGGATGTAGTTACCCCCATAGCATCCACCATTGATCTCACAATATCCTGATGTTTTGATTGAGCCTGTGTTTATTGGTAGAACTCCTGAATACAAGTTGGATAATGAAAAGAAACACAAGTTTATATGGTGCCATAGAAGTTTGGCGTGAATAGAAAATATAACTGACGCCACAACTAAACTAGAGATGGTCTAATTCATGTCTACGCCATCTTTGATCCAGAGGCATGTCCACAAGTACTGTAGTTGCCTGGCTGGCCGCATGGCACGCAACACCTGGTTCTTACTCCATCACGAGCACCATGTGTTCTTTCGTATAGTCCCCGTCGAATCTTCAAATTATTCTGCCGCACAACTCAATAACCATACCTAAATTCTCCATTCTCTGAATTACATGCATCATTCTATTGTATTGCTGCAAAAAGAAAGAGATGATCCGTGAGTTCTCTTGCTCAATAATCAGATGGATAGTATATATACTCACTCAAGGGGAATAGTGATCCGTGAGTTCTCTTGCTCAACGGGATCTTTCTGTCCACCTGTCTTTGCATACTGTTGGATACAACAACAACAACAACAACAAAGCCTTTAGTCCCAAACAAGTTGGGGTAGGCTAGAGGTGAAACCCATAAGATCTCGCAACCAACTCATGGCTCTGGCACATGGATAGCAAGCTTCCACGCACCCCTGTCCATAGCTAGCTCTTTGTCGATACTCCAATCCTTCAGGTCTCTCTTAACGGACTCGTCCCATGTCAAATTCGGTCGACCCCGCCCTCTCTTGACATTCTCCGCACGCTTTAGCCGTCCGCTATGCACTGGAGCTTCTGGAGGCCTGCGCTGAATATGCCCAAACCATCTCAAACGATGTTGGACAAGCTTCTCCTCAATTGGTGCTACCCCAACTCTATCTCGTATATCATCATTCCGGACTCGATCCTTCCTCGTGTGGCCACACATCCATCTCAACATACGCATCTCTGCCACACCTAACTGTTGAACATGTCGCCTTTTAGTCGGCCAACACTCCGCGCCATACAACATTGTGGGTTGAACCGCCGTCCTGTAGAACTTGCCTTTTAGCTTTTGTGGCACTCTCGTCACAGAGAATGCCAGAAGCTTGGCGCCACTTCATCCATCCGGCTTTGATTCGATGGTTCACATCTTCATCAATACCCCCATCCTCCTGCAACATTGACCCCAAATACTGAAAGGTGTCCTTCCGAGGTACCACCTGGCCATCAAGGCTAACCTCCTCCTCCTCACACCTAGTAGTACTGAAACCGCACATCATGTACTCGGTTTTAGTTCTACTAAGCCTAAACCCTTTCGATTCCAAGGTTTGTCTCCATAACTCTAACTTCCTATTTACCCCCGTCCGACTATCGTCAACTAGCACCACATCATCCGCAAAGAGCATACACCATGGGATATCTCCTTGTATACCCCTTGTGACCTCATCCATCACCAATGCAAAAAGGTAAGGGCTCAAAGCTGACCCCTGATGCAGTCCTATCTTAATCGGGAAGTCATCAGTGTCGACATCACTTGTTCGAATACTTGTCACAACATTATTGTACATGTCCTTGATGAGGGTAATGTACTTTGCTGGGACTTTGTGTTTCTCCAAGGCCCACCACATGACATTCCGCGGTATCTTATCATAGGCCTTCTCCAAGTCAATGAACACCATATGCAAGTCCTTCTTTTGCTCCCTATATCTCTCCATAAGTTGTCGTACCAAGAAAATGGCTTCCATGGTCGACCTCCCAGGCATGAAACCAAACTGATTTTTGGTCACGCTTGTCATTCTTCTTAAGCGATGCTCAATGACTCTCTCCCATAGCTTCATTGTATGGCTCATCAGCTTAATTCCACGGTAATTAGTACAACTCTGAACATCCCCCTTGTTCTTGAAGATTGGTACTAATATACTCCGTCTCCATTCTTCTGGCATCTTGTTTGCCCGAAAAATGAGGTTGAAAAGCTTGGTTAGCCATACTATTGCTATGTCCCCGAGACCTTTCCACACCTCAATGGGGATTAAGGATGGCAATGGGTAGGGTATGGGGCGGATAGAGCATTACCATACCCATACCCGTGTAGTCAATGGGTACGAAATTATACCCATACCCGTACCCACGGGTATGAAACTTTACCCGTACCTATACCCGATGGGTTTCCATACCCATTGGGTAGATCAAGCAGTACACAAGTTATTTGCAATTTTACATTAATCTATAGCACATTTCACAAAAAACATTGATCTCAACTCTAACAGATAGAGAGTACCCGCTCAACTAAAATTGACAATTGATGACAACTTTAACATAGGTTCACAAGCTCACAAACCAAATTTAACACACGTACTCTTGTGAATTATGGGTAAGTTTCACCTGTCAGTATAAACGGGTAGGGTATGGGTATATCCATGGGTAAAAGGCTATACCCGTGCCCTACCCATGACTTAATGGGTAGGGTATGGGTACTACCCATGGGTATAAAATTGTGCCTATACCCTGCCCATGTGGGTACGATATCCGCGGGTACCCATACCCATGGGTAAAATTGCCATCCTTAATGGGGATACAATCAGGGCCCATCGCCTTGCCTCCTTTCATCCTTTTTAAAGCCTCCTTCACCTCAGACTCCTGGATGCGCCACACAAAACGCATGCTGGTCTCATCAAAGGAGTCGTCCAGTTCAATGGTAGAACTCTCATTCTCCCCATTGAACAACTTGTCGAAGTACTCCCGCCATCTATGCTTAATCTCTTTGTCCTTCACCAAGAGTTGGCCTGCTCCGTCCTTGATGCATTTGACTTGGCTAATATCCCTCGTCTTCCTCTCCCGGATCTTAGCCATCTTATAGATGTCCCTTTCACCTTCCTTTGTGCCTAACCATTGGTAGAGGTCCTCATATGCCCGACCCCTTGCTTCACCAACAGCTCGCTTTGCGGCCTTCTTCGCCATCTTGTACTTCTCTATGTTGTTTGCACTCCTATCCAGGTATAGGCGTCTGAAGCAATCTTTCTTCTCTTTAATCGCCTTCTGGACATCATCATTCCACCACCAGGTATCCTTATCTTCGCTTCTCCTTCCCCTGGACACTCCAAACTCCTCCGAGGCCACCTTACGAATGCAAGTCGCCATCTTCATCCACACATTGTCCGCATCCCCTCCTTCTTCCCAAGGGCCCTCCTTAATTACCCTCTCCTTGAACACCTGAGCTACCTCCCCCTTGAGCTTCCATCACTTCGTTCTAGCGACCTTGGCACGCTTATCCCGCTGGACACGAATCCGAAAGCGGAAGTCAGCAACCACCAGCTTATGCTGGGGTACAACACTCTCCCCAGGTATCACCTTACAGTCTAGGCACGCACGCCTATCTTCTCTTCTCGAGAGGATGAAATCAATCTGGCTAGAGTGTTAGCCACTACTAAAAGTCACCAGATGTGATTCTCTCTTTCTAAAGAGGGTGTTAGCTACAATCATGTTGCAGGCTAGAGCAAAGCTTAAGACATCTTCTCCTTCTTGATTCCTGATGCCATAGCCAAAGCCCCCATGCGCCCCTTCAAAACCTGTGTTAGATGCACCCACGTGGCCATTGAGGTCTCCTCCAATGAAGAGCTTCTCACCAATCGGTACACTCCTAACCATGTCTTCCAAGCCTTCCCAGAACTCCCTCTTGGTGTTCTCATTGTGGCCTACTTGCGGGGCATACGCGCTGATAACATTGAGAACCAAGTCCTCAACTACCAGCTTGACCAGGATAATCCGGTCCCCACGTCTCCTGACGTCTACCACTCCATACTTGAGGCTCTTGTTGATCAAGATGCCTACGCCATTTCTGTTTGCAGCCGTCCCCGTGTACCACAGCTTGAAGCCGGTATCCTCCACCTCCTTCGCCTTCTGCCCTCTCCATTCGGTTTCTTGGACGCAAAGGATATCAACACCTCTCCTCACTGCTGCATCAACTAGCTCCCGAAGCTTCCCTGTCAGAGACCCTACGTTCCAGCTACCTAAGCGAATCCTCCTAGGCTCGGCTAGCTTCCTTACCCTTCGCACTCGTCGAGTCAAATGCGAAGACCCTTGCTCATTTTCCACTACATCCGGGCGCCGATGTAGCGCGCCACTAAGGATGCGACGACCCGATCCTCGCTCACTTGCCACCGTATCCGGATCAAGATACGGCGCGCCACTTGGGGGGTGACGGCCCAGCCCTTGTCCATTTACCACCACACCCGGGTTCCGATGTGGCGCGTCGCTGAGAGGGTTACGCCCCAACGAAAATCTTTTGGGTTTCATCTCCATAAGAGTGGCTGAGTTTTTACGTTGGCTCGCCAAGCCTATCACAACCCTCCTCCTTTACCCGGGCTTGGGACCGGCTATGTTGAGACAACATAGGCGGAGTTCTTTGCATACTGTTGGATCCAATATAAAATTTGGATTCTGTTTCGGATCACAAAACCTCAGCGCTGGATTTATGGGCAGTGCTATCCGTTATCAAGCTGTACATATCTGCTATCTGACACTGTCCCGTCACTCTCCCACCTCTTTTGTTCGAATATGCGTATCCCGTCGTATCCGTGCGTATTGCCGTGCACCCCCGTACTAGGACGCCACTACGGCTGTTTTTGCCGTGTCTGTGCTTTTTAGGGTATAACCCATGGGGTGTAGTAACATATTTCTGTGTATATATGTATCACGTTCTGAATATCAATTATTTATTAGTTTCTTGTATTCTGAATATCATGTTCCTTACGTACTTTTTCTCTTTGAAAGAAAATGGCATTAGCTTGGATGGTTTCGAAGGAGAATAGTTCACATTGTGCAGGAGGAATTCTTGCAGATGATCAGGTTATTTGTGATTTCCAACCTTTCAAAAACTACTCACTTCTTGTTAAATTCTTCTTAATGATAAGTAGTTTATTGTTACAGGGTCTTGGGAAGACTGTGTCTACAATTGCCCTTATACTAAAACAGAAGAGTCAGCAGTCTAAGTTCATGTGTGCTGATTCAGATCCTTTGAAATCTGAAGCGCTAAACCTTGATGAAGACGATGAGGCAGTGACTGTTGTTGATAAGGAGAAACAGTCTGTGAACGATGGACCCAAGAAGGATTTAGACGCTAGTTTATCAACAGCAGCTAGTACTAGTGATGTTAAACCATCTAGTAGTCATATGGATATTGTTCCAAATAGAATTGTTGAAAGCAAAGTTGAACGCAAGAAGACTAAAACAGGCACATCATCTGCATCATCAACCATGCGATCCATGATGAGGCCAGCTGCAGGTACTTTAGTAGTATGCCCTGCTAGTGTTCTTAAGCAGTGGGCTAATGAATTGAATGACAAGGTTAGTCAAAGTGCTAGGTTATCTGTTTTAGTCTACCATGGTGGTGCAAGGACCAAAGATCCAAGTGAGCTGGCAAAATATGATGTCGTTGTCACGACATACACAATTGTGGCGAATGAAGTGCCTAAACAGAATGCTGATGATGACCAAGATCAAAAGAATGGGGAAGAATCTTCTGTTGGTAATAAAAGAAAACCACCAAGCAAATCTAAGAAAAGGAAGAAGAAACTTAAGGATTCAGATATTGACCTTGACAGTGGCCCAGTTGCCCGGGTACGGTGGTTTCGGGTGGTTCTTGATGAAGCTCAGACGATAAAAAATTTCCGAACTCAAGTGGCTAAAGGCTGTTGTGGACTAAGAGCAAAAAGGAGATGGTGCTTATCAGGAACACCTATACAAAATTCAATCGATGAGCTCTACAGCTATTTCCGTTTCTTGAAATATGACCCATATTCTACATATAGCTCATTTTGTACAATGATAAAGCACCCAATTGCTAGAAATGCAGTCCATGGGTATAAGAAACTACAAACTGTGTTGAGGATAGTTCTCCTGCGTCGCACAAAAGGTGAGAGAAAAATGTGTATTTACTGCACCTATCTAAGAAATCGTTAACTGGTAACTGCCTGGTTGTCTGGCGAGTGGAGGATTAATAGGCAAATTGGCTGATAATCAGTTAATCAGCTACTCGGTGACCCTCTGAGGAAGGAATAATCGGCCAGTTAACTGATTAACTGGCTGTTTTTTTAATAGTGATAGTTCCAATATTCATGTACCAAGGGAGGGAATACATACGGCATGGTGGAGCCTGAGTACCCACGTATATATGATCTTTGGATATTCATTGCAAACTAATACAATTCCAACCACGCCGCTTAGTACTTTTTATTAGTTATGGAAACTTGATGAATTATATCCAAGTTTAAATCTGCATGTGATTACACCATTTTTTGGGGGTAGGCATTCTCTAGTTCCATGACTTTCTAATCAGTTATAGGTATTACCGTGCAAACAGTTGGAAGAACAGAAGCTTTGAGTTACATGTCAGAGAAGATAGTAGGTTATTGATTTCGTGTTTGAGAACGCCAGGGCACCTGTATTAATATTCCTAGCCACTTGTGTTCAGTACTTTGAGTTACATGTCAGAGAAGATAGTAGGTTATTTGATTTCTTGTTTGAAAACGCTAGGGCACCTGTCTTAATACTGCTAGCCACTTGTGTTCAGTATCCCGCACCTCCTTTCTCTTTTCTTTTCATAGAAAGAACTTCCATAGGGTTTCGCATTGTATAATTTTGTTGTGAGATCTCTAAACACATATTGACATGACTCTTTTCCGTTTGCTACCTCTGCTGATCTCAAAAAAAAAAAAATGAAACTCCATGGGCACTAGCACCCACGGTTTATTGATATAGAAGAAGCATCCCTCATGAGAATTCCAGAAATTCGTCCCCGACGTGGATCGAACTCTGGTCGTTGGGTTTACAATCATGCGCCCCCAACCACTGGGCTATGCCCACGTCCTCAAAAATGAAACTCCATGGGCACTAGCACCCACGGTTTATTGATATAGAAGAAGCATCCCTCATGAGAATTCCAGAAATTCGTCCCCGACGTGGATCGAACTCTGGTCGTTGGGTTTACAATCATGCGCCCCCAACCACTGGGCTATGCCCACGTCCTCTACCTCTGCTGATCTCATATTGCTGTTTTTTATATGTAGAAACTACGATAAATGGAGAACCGATCATAAACTTACCTCCAAAGACAATTAAGTTGCAAAAGGTGGATTTCACAAAGGAGGAGCGAGCTTTTTATTTGACACTGGAAGAACGTTCTCGGCAACAGTTCAAGGTTGGTTAAAACTTCATGTTTATCTTACCTTTCCCCATACTTTGTCGATGGCCTTGTTATATTATAATTTTGTACTATTTGATCGCTAAACTGGTGGCATGTGCCTGTCTCCACTTTCAAGTGTCATATGTAGGTAGAAGATCGTTGTCGTGATCTAGAGTCCTATTTAGAGTTGCTTGCAATCATTGGCTCATTGCTTAATGTAGGGTGTGTGCATGCGGTTTTAGGTGGTTTGGGATGAGAGCCCAGCCCAGCCCGCAAGTACATGGTTTTGGCAGTGTGGTTTCGATAGTTTGCATCTTTTAACGGGTTAGCTGCTTCACTTGCTCCTATTCTTCAATTATGAAGCACCGATATGGGGATGGGGACATGTTGATACGGATAGCGGGGGTTTGAGCGTTTTGGCTCTGTGGTGATTGTTGGCTTTGTGCAGGAAATTAGCACATGGGTGGTGGACAGAAGAACACACGCCGAAAGATTTGGCAGTATTTTCTTACGACGCATGAATTTTTGGTGCTCGGCTGACGCTTCTTAGCCGGAGCGTTTTCTTCTCTTCTCTATTTCTCATGCCACTTAGCTGAACCGATTACAAAGCTTTAAATAGCGCACACATGACACATGGTCAATCTAACAACTGCCTGATTCACTAATTGCTCAACTAGCCAATAGAAAAAGCCACCAACTAGCGATCTCACAACTCGGCCATCTCCTCACAACCTGGAGACAACGTCTGATCACTAGTTTCACACTTGAGCCTATCTAACAACTAGCCTTATCCATGCAAGCACACGTGCACCACTTCTACTAACTAACAACGCATGCAACTAATTAACACTACTACTTTGCATGCGTACACATGGCCACATCCCAACATACGCACATAGCCGCAGCTTCTAGTGTTACGACTACAAATTAAACATTATCTAATCCTATACGCTTAACACTAATAACAAGATTAGTTCAAACAATCACCTCCCTAATCTTATTATTTATTCCTCTCGTGAAGCCTTTTGTCCTTTTGTCGTCGATCCCGTTGGTGCAGCACATCAAGGACCGCAATTGACATCTTGTCACACCGATTGTCATCGCCGTTGGCTTCAATGAGAGGCGCACCTCCTACACCTTCGCCGCATCTTCGTTGCTGGCGACACACCGTGTCGACGACTCCGATGTGGATGATGAACTCCTTATGGCAATGGCCTCCATGCCATGACAATCACCTCCTTGCCGCCGGTGGCATGACCTACCGGGTAGCATGTCCTTCTCCTTTGGTCATGACGCAACTCGACGACGATGAAGGATTGGACCTCGACACACGAGGCTTTGGGGCCAAATGTTGGACAGAAGAACACACACACAGAGGAATTTTTTGGTGCTCGGCTGACGCCTCTTAGCTGGAGCGTTTTCTTCTCTTCTCTATTTCTCATGCCACTTAGCTGAACCGATTACAAAGCTTTAAATAGCACAAGCATGACACACGGTCAAGCTCACAACTGCCTGATCCACTTATCGCTCAACTAGCCGATAGAAAAGGTCACCAACTAGCGATCTCACGACCCGGCCGTCCACGTCTGATCACTAGTTTCAGTGCCCCCTTTATGTGATCCGACACAATATCGTCGTCTTGTTGGGAGCCTTGTCTATCCAGCTGTCACTCGTCCGGGCACCTCCTAGGCTCCTATCCTGTCTATATTTTGAGTCAGTTTGTCTCTGCTCCCACTCTAGTTCAATATAGTCAACCTTCTTCGTGTTCAACGATATCTTCGTGGCTCCATCTCTCACCGTCTGTGCTTTCCACTCTCCAGTTCATTACAGCTTCAGGTCTATTCGGATGCTGTGTGGGCTAGTCATCCCTCGGATCGCCGTTCACTTTTTGCTGTGTTTTTCTAGGTGGTTCTCTCATTGCTTGGAAGACGAAGAAACAGACTGCAGTTTCCATTCGAGCGCAAAGGCTGAGTTTCGAGCTATGGCTCTTTTGATGGTAGAGGTGCCTTGGTTACGGTGGTTACTTCAGGAGTTTGGTGTTCTGTCACTACACCTACTCTGCTATTGTCAGTACAGGTGCTATTAGTATTGCACGTCACCCTGTGAAGCATGAGCTCACCAAGCATATTGGGGTTGATGCTTCTTTTGTGCAAGCTGGTGTGCATGATCAGGTTAATGCTCTTTAGCATGTGCCTTCCGGGTCAGTTGGTGGATTTCTTTATGAAGGCCCAGACTAGAGCACAACACGGCTTCTATCACTCCGGACTCAGTGTTGTTGATCCACCAGGGGTTTGAGGGTGTGTGTGTGTTAAGAGTTATATATATTTAGTCATGTACCCCTTTGTATTTTCCATGTACTATAAGGGGTTTTCTGCCATCACAATACAAAAGGGTACTCCGTGCCCCCCTGTCTCAAATTTTCTCCCCATCCCTGTAGTGGTTGCCGCCCTCCCCTACCTCTCCCTCTCTTGTTGTGCTCTCTTCAGCCAACTTCCTTCATAGCACCCTTTCAATGCCACACTGTCTGTCGGCGCATCTCCGTCGAGGGAAATAAGCTTGGCTGGAACTCAGCTTTTGAGTTGGAATTGTGATGGAAACAGGTTCAGTGGTTTAAACCTGACATCACCCGTGACCCAAACTGCAGTTTGATGCGGGTGGGTTCGACAGCGAACATGTCTAGCTTTAATTAATCAGATTTTCCTCCCAGCTTGTTTTCCTACCACTTTCCTTTGAAATTTTGTTTGTGGAATTCTTTATTGGTATTCCTATACCATTGTTTTACATCTAGGGAGGTAAGTGGACAGTAGTTTCTGAGGCGTGGACATTCTTTAGATCAACAGAAGCTTAACATTGACATCTCTTATGGAAACTAGAAATGTTGGAAGTGAAATTTATGACTCCTGACATGCTGTCTATCCATTTCAGGAATATGCTGCTGCCGGAACAGTCAAACAAAACTATGCCAATATCCTTTTATTGTTGTTGCGCCTTAGGCAGGCTTGTGATCATCCTCTTCTTGTGAAGGGGCATCAGTCAGTATTTAAAGGCGATGGTTCTATAGAGATGGCAAAACAACTTTCCAAGGAAAGGGTAATAGATTTGCTTGCAAGGCTGGAAGTATCAGCGCTTTGTGCTGTATGCCGTGTAAGTGATTAGATCTTTCCTCACTATTTTGAAGTTCATCTGTTTTCTCTTTTCTTTTGAGTGCAATCGTGCAAACTCTCACGTGTGCCATCTTTATATGAGATTTATGTGTTAGCATCGTTCGATATTTAACCCTGACAAACAATTACCCCAACATTTGAGGGGTTACTTTAGAAAGTTATCACCTATGTGATCCATGCCCCTATGAATCTAGTCCATCCAAACTTCATTGATGGGGGCCTATCTGGGAAGTTATCATGGTTTGACTCGACCATGGTTTGCACTAAGATATGCCTCCCTCTCTTGTTCACGCTCTTGGCATAAGACCTCATAGCATGGAGCCACACAACAAAAATGGTACCTGAACACATGAACTGGTTAAAACCTACATTTTTTATGGGATAATGCAAAACTAATTGGGCCCTGCTCGTCATGGTAGTCGTATCCAGGCTAAAATTCTGAGCCCAGCTTGACACCTGGGTAAGGTTGCATCCATTTTGCCATGATCTTTTCTTATGCACAGTGTGTGCAACAATGTAATAACTGGTCTAATTCATATTTCTAAGGAATACAGTACTTGTCGTTTTGATCTTATTGTAGTGGCTGCAATAATAATGTAACTTATGTTTTTTGCAGGACACACCTGAGGATGCTGTTGTGGCGATGTGTGGTCATATTTTCTGCTATCAGTGTATATACGAGCGGATAACAACTGATGAAAACATGTGCCCCGTCCCTAATTGCAGAAACACGTTAAGTACTGAATCAGTATTTTCATCAGGGACATTAAAGATTTGTATCTCCGGCAAGACCAGTACTCATGCGATAGCGAGTTCATCAGCAGACGATGAGCTATCTTCTATCAGTCAAAGCAGTTACATCTCCTCGAAGATACAAGCGACCGTCGATATACTGAATTCTATCATTAACATGCATGCCCTTACAGACAGCGATACCATTGAATCAAATCCAAACCGAGTATCCCCTGTGAAAGCCATTGTCTTCTCGCAGTGGACTGGCATGCTGGATTTGCTGGAGTTTTCACTGAACAGCAATCTTATACAGTACAGGAGACTAGACGGAACAATGTCCCTCAATTCAAGAGATAAAGCCGTGAAGGATTTTAACACCGACGCAGAGGTCATTCCCCTCACCCAACTTGTCTCTTTTGCTACTTCTGGACAATCATCTGACATTATGCTGCTGGATGTCTTCTTTTTTCAGGTTAGAGTTATGATTATGTCATTGAAAGCGGGTAATCTTGGTCTGAACATGGTTGCTGCTTGCCATGTAATACTCCTTGATCTTTGGTGGAATCCTTATGCTGAGGACCAGGCAATTGATAGAGCACACAGAATTGGTCAGACTCGTCCGGTCACTGTCTCTCGTCTAACCATTACAGATACGGTGGAAGATCGTATTTTATCTCTGCAGGTAATTATCCGTCTTATGTGTGTTCATGAGCACTTCTAATCCACATAAGGAACATGTGCTTGTTATTTGTTAATTTGGGGGATGAGAATTATGCACCACATGAATATCACTGATACCCTTTTATCATGTCAGTGATCGTCATGGTAGGTTAGTTTTCTAATCTTTCTTGTGAGAGAACTGTCTGATAGGGGATCGAAATTCATTTCTGGTTTGGCACATTATGGAAATGATGGTTAACAAATTAAGCTGGACGCCAACAAATCCAAGTGCACGGAAAGCCAGCTAGGCAGCTCTACTTAGGTTTACTACAATAACAAACTATTTTGACAATGGGGACAAGCAAACTTGAAATAGGATTACATAAATATTTGAAGCAGATGTAGAAATTGCCTTGTCATGGAGTTACCATTGCTTATAATTCCATGGTGCCTGTCTTACATTATTCCTGCATTTGTTAACAGGAGGAAAAGAGAGCGATGGTCAACTCTGCTTTCGGTGAAGACAAATCCAGTGCCCACGCTACTCGGCTGACTGTAGATGATCTGAGGTATCTGTTTAGGATATGATTGCGAGGAGATGATCCCTTGTTGCGTTGCTAGCTTTGGAAATCGTCAAAGTGGTGGCAGCATGTACGTTGCTTGCAATCTACCTATGTCTCTCCCTGCCCCGCCGACGATCCAGTTTTGTCATGCTCCGATCGATCTTACATGTGACATCGGAGGGCCAACTAGCTAGCATGTCTAGTGTAACGTACTTATGTCCCTGAGAATTCTTGTGTGCTCTGTTCCCTGTGATGACAGGAGAGATCCATATGTATAGTGTGTCATTGACTCATTGTACTGTGGCCATTTACTTTTTCCTTTTCTGCAATGTTCCCGCGTGCATTAACAGACA